TATTATGATGTGTTGAGTGTGTTATACGTCCCAACATTTAAGGTCCAGATAGAGCCTTTAGTGTTGAAGCTAGGATCTGTTTTATTGTCTTGACTCTGCATGTTGGTTTTTAAGTTTGTATGATGCTAATTTTTTTTTTTGTTTTACGTGCATATGGGTTGTTCGGGGTTGATAACAGCAGCTATGTTGTAGCCATGAGAGTTTCGTGATTTTATGCTTGGAGAGTGGCTTATAAGTAGAACCTGTGACTTTTATAGTTATATCCTTCCTTGTGGCTTTGCATCTTGTTTATAAATTGTAAAAAGAAAGTGTTTTCAAGTTCTGTATAGCAAAATGAAGAAGTGTTTTTGTTTTGGTTTTGGCTCATTTATTTTGAGCAGGACCCGCTTAAGGGTAGTAGTTTCTTTTGGTTTTATTATACTTTATAAATCATTTTATTGTAAAAGCATGAGTGAATAGGAAGAAAGTTATATTGGCTACGTAAAAGCATGGAAAGAATGATGCATGGACTAGTAATTTGTGAATTTGTGGGACCCGCGACATTAATGGCTAGTAAGACACAGACTTTTTATTTGTTCAAGTGGGGCCACTTCATGAAAAGTGAAGTTGATGTTCATTTTAATATGAAGCAACGTGAATTGAGAGGAAAAAGAGGGAGGGGTGCGCTTAGAAGAAAGGAAAGAATGTGTATATGTTAGTTAACTTTTGATGGTGTTGACCTTTATTAGAAATTGGTTGGAAATGTTTTTATACGAGAATGAATGATTTATTATTTTTGGATTGGTATGGAATGTTATTTATTTATTTGTTTTATTTATTTTATTCCTTGAGTAGAACTCATGAGAAGTTCATATTCAATATATTGAGTTTCGAATGAACTTTAGATAATGATGAATGAATAGTGTTAGACAGAAAATGAGAATGGTTNTTATTATACTTTATAAATCATTTTATTGTAAAAGCATGAGTGAATAGGAAGAAAGTTATATTGGCTACGTAAAAGCATGGAAAGAATGATGCATGGACTAGTAATTTGTGAATTTGTGGGACCCGCGACATTAATGGCTAGTAAGACACAGACTTTTTATTTGTTCAAGTGGGGCCACTTCATGAAAAGTGAAGTTGATGTTCATTTTAATATGAAGCAACGTGAATTGAGAGGAAAAAGAGGGAGGGGTGCGCTTAGAAGAAAGGAAAGAATGTGTATATGTTAGTTAACTTTTGATGGTGTTGACCTTTATTAGAAATTGGTTGGAAATGTTTTTATACGAGAATGAATGATTTATTATTTTTGGATTGGTATGGAATGTTATTTATTTATTTGTTTTATTTATTTTATTCCTTGAGTAGAACTCATGAGAAGTTCATATTCAATATATTGAGTTTCGAATGAACTTTAGATAATGATGAATGAATAGTGTTAGACAGAAAATGAGAATGGTTATTATACTATGATGAACTTTGATCGATGAGTGGAATGATTGAGTGTTGAAGTTATACTTGGTGTGACTAATTCTTTTCACTATTGAGTTATGGTATTGTGGAGGCTCATGGTGTTATTGATGATGAATGATTAATGATGAGGTTATTCTAATAGAGGTACATGTGATGATGATTCGTAGTGACGATGTGTTTGGAGATGATGTTGATAATGATCACGGTGTATAAATGATTCTGTTAGTAGGATAGTGTTGTGGTGATTGATTTGTCATTAAGTTGTGTTTACTTTGATTGATTTGTCATTAAGTTGTGTTTACTTTCTCTGTACAGATTTTATTGTTATTGGTTGTGTTATGGTAGCTTATCCATACTTGTGTTTGTGGTCGTGTGTGTCTTGCGATGATCGTATAACTTTTGGTTATACGGGAGCAGATGTTGCAGATGCTTCATATGCATGATAGAGATGCGAGAGTGGGAAAAGATTATTTAATGTTTTTGTGTTATAAATGTCAGAGACAATGTAATTGGAGTTACTTTATTTCGTTTTTATTATACTAATTTCGATATTATATAAGTGGATTTCCATAATGGTATTATGATTTAAAAAATTTTAAATTTTACTCTTAATCGAAGCATCCCAAAAATTGGATGTTACAAAACCTAAACCAAAAACCCAAACTCTAACCCTAAACTTAAACCTTGACCCTAAACCCTGACCCTATCCTCAACCACAACCTCAACTTTAATTATAACCATAACCCTAATCATAAACCCTAAACACTAACACTAAACCCTAGCTTGAATCCTAAATCCTAGCCCAAACCATAAACTTTAACTTTAAATATAGTTAATTAACCCTAACCTTCACCATAAATCTAACCCTAATCATGACATGTTTTTATTTCAATGTTAGTTAAGAAACGTGTTTGACATGTTAATAAAATTTAACGTAATAAAGTATATAACTTTTATAATTTTATCATATATTTTTTTATTAAATATAGTAAGTTAATTTTTAATAAAATACAAAAACTTAAAAAATAAAATAATAGAATAAAACATATTAATTAAGGATAAAATTGATAAAAAGAACTGTATGTATTAAAATAAAATTGCTAAAAATTATTGAAGTGAATCCACTTTATTAATAAGATTATTAAATATTACAATTAAATTAACAAGTTATAAAAAATGAAAATTTAAAATATATTTTAATTCTAAATTTTATTTGTTTGATGTGTGATATATTAAAAAAATAAAAGTTGAATAATCAATTATATAAAAACTTGTCTTATGTAAGAGATATTAAGAAGTAAACATTTAAAATTAGAAATTAATCATTTATATATATATATATATATAATTATATATTATATATATATATATATATATATATAAATGGTTATAATTAAGAGTAATTTTGTTATATATAAAAATAAATAAAATAACAATTTATTGATAATAATATATGAAAGGAGAACGTGTGGTATAGCCGTGGAGCAACCTAAAGCTTCACCCACCGTTAACGTAAGGAACAGCACGGAATTGATAGACATGCGTACTCTAAACCCAACCGTCGCTGCTCCTCTTTCTCTTTCAAACTTTTCCCTTAGGACAAATTTCCTTGTTCGATGCAGTAATCTTCACTCGCAACCGCAACTCGACACGCGCAAGGTAACCACTTCTTTCTCAATCTTCCATCCACGGCATTTCACACTTTCTTCTCTTTAAGTGCACAATAACAGTTTAATGCTCGGTCAAATTCAAATGCATATTTTTAGTTTAGGGCATATCTCCTCATGTTCATTACTATCTTAATTAAAAAGAATATTGCAGTTAGTTCTTTCAGTGAAGGAAAATCTTGAAAAAGAACACCATAGCCTCCCTGTTGGAAGAAATGGAAGGATGACGAAGATATGATACTGTGGTTTCTCAAGATCGCAAGTTTTCTGTTGAAGATGCTATTTCCAAGTTGACTAAAGCGATTGTATCCTTCTCGTCATTGTATCAATGTCCAATTTTATTCATAACGCATCACCACCGTTGTTTGAGGAGTAGGAAATAAGCGATTGACAAATTTTATTTCTACTCGCATGTGTAATTTGATCTGTCCGAAAATGAGCCTTGTTGACGTGTTCAATGTGGACTGTAAACTTGGGTTTTGCTCTGATGTCTTTTGACCATGGTGTGCTTTGAGCAATTAAGGTCCAAGGTCTTTTGAGTTCGGCTAACGCTCCAGCCAGGTTTACACGCCATGGCGATGCATGTATACCTGTAAAAGACGCTCATACTTTCCGGTCATTAAGAAACCTACTGCGTCAATAAGCAATCCTTTGTCAACACCCACCAGGGTGAAATCCAGTCCAAAGGTCACCTCGAACATGTCAATTAGATCCATTTTCGATATATCTGAACTAATCTTGTCGTATTAATGGGATTAATTTTCTTTCAAATTTATGCCTACTACTCATCTTGTTGCTTTGCTTTCTACTCTATAAGAAATGGCGTCAAGATTTTGAGGTGTCTAAATGACCGATGAACTGTTAAGATGCTGCTCAAACTGGGAAAAGGATATGTACACGACTTTCTAGATATTAATGATAGACCTGTGCTTGGTGGTGGTTGGATCAAAGCATATTCCTATGGTAATAGTAAGTGGTAGTTTTAGTATTTTATTATGCTTATTGCTTTATATTTCTTGTTATTTTTATATTCCGTGAAATGAAACGGATTCGAGAAAATGTTAATACTGGCATGCAGCGAAAATTTGCTTTGCAGTGAAAATATGTTTCAATTTTCTGAGGATATAATTAAGAGTTTGACGTTGGTGCTCTGATTTGCGTTTGAACACCTATTTAGTTTAGAACGCTAATGACCATAGAGACAGGGACTGATGTTGCAAATTCACTGGAATGTGGGAAATGAGTAAAACAAACACTCTCCCTAACCTTAACAACTTCCCTGCCATGCTTCCCCTCTTTCTGCTTCTAGGACCTCATCACTCTCAATTGATACTTCTACTCTGTATCATAGATGTTAAATTTGGGGAATTAATGTGATTGCCTAATTTGGTACAAATTTCTGGTTGTAAGTATATGCAGCTTGATGTCACTGGAATAACTGAGGTCAACTGTCATTACATATTACACACTGTACTTTACTTTTTTAGTTTATGTATATACCTCAGATATAACCGGCAGCCTCGTGACCTTTGGATAACTATTTGTGACAATGTGGACAAATAATTATGTCACAGGCACTGGACCGCAGATGATGAGAGGCTGTGCGTTCTTAATTGAGAAGGCATTAAGTAAGCTTCCAAGCAACTGGCAAAAACTACTTGGAATAGTTGATCTCAGAGGCTTCAAACAGAAAATGCTGATCTTAAATTCTTGACTTTCTTGGTAATAGTTTTAATATCTGCCAAACATAATTCAGTTAAGAGTCTGAATCATCATCACCTAATGTAGTTTGAACTGTAGTGCCTCACTAGAAAGAAATTGTGCAAAGAGCAGCACAACAGCTATATATTTCTTTATTTTTGGCAGTTTGATGTATTTTTATTACTATCCGAAGCGATTGGATCAAGTACTATTTGTGGATGCACCTTTTGTTTTTAAGCCAATTTGGCAGCTAGCCAAACCCTTGTTAAAATCATATGCTTCCCTGGTAAGTGATTCTTGTCTTAAATGCCTGTTTTTAATATGAAAAAAGTTGTTTTCCCTTTATGTTTAAGGGCTGAGTGCTTGAGATGGCTTGAGTTTTTCTGAAGGGTTACCCGTAGTATAACCTGACCCTATGTGTTGAACTCAAAATTTGAGGGGGAAAAAGGGAGTTATCTGGTGGAAACTGTGGGCTTGGACCAATAGGGTTTGTGGTGGAACCTTACTCTTTTTGTGAATTTCTTTGGAATGTGAACTGGTTTACTGGGTCCTAAGATAAGATAAAAATTAATGTTGTTCTTGTAATTTGATCTAATATCACAGAAAATAGGAGGCAATTGCCTGCTGAAGAGTAGCTATAGTGCCACCTTCTCAATCTGAGGTTGAGGGCTCCTTCTTAGACCCTTCCCTTTAGGTTCAGTCAGTTCCGTTGTGATTTTCGCCAGGGGTGTAGTGACAAGTGTAGGTGATTGGGTAGTGTTGCTTGGATTAGAGGCCAGGAATATTGCCTCCCGAGAATAATGACAGAAAAGAGATGAATGATACTTTCTGTTCATTCGTCATAATTCATTACGGCGGTTATATATAAGGGAAAATAACCAAAAGCATAACAAAAAGTAAAGGAATGCAATAGCAAATGCGTAACAGAAAATAGAGGAAGGTAATAACAAACATAACAAAGCCCATAGCGGATTGACACCACAGCACTGAATATCTTTGCCAGATTTGAGGAATCTTCAGTGCACATAGGTATCTGTGTTGAGGCTTGATATCCTCCTCACTAATAACCCAACTTCAGATGTAGCTTCTGTAATGACTGGATCAATAGGTACTGGGCTGCTGCGGTTCATAGAACAATGTCCCATCCAGGAGTTCCCTCGTTTCTTTGGGATGACGATTGTGTAATTGACTTTAGGTTGTGATTAAGTCAACTAGCTGAATGTAATTGGGCTTACGTGATATGGGATGTAAGATTGTTGGCTCATATTTTTAAGTTAAACAAACCATAATGATTAATTTCAGCACTGTTTGGCGTTAGATATCAACTCTTTGTGCTGCTCCATCATCATTTTCTTCTAATTCTTTCTTCTCCTGCCTCCCCCCATTTATTTTACAGGTAAGATTTTGCTCTGCAGAAACTGTTAGGAAGGAATATTTTACAGAAGAAACTTTGCCACCAAACTTCAGAGATTGAAAATTGGATGGAATAAAAAATTGCAGCAAAAGTTGCAAACACACTCGTATTAAGCGCGTTTATCTTGGGGACTTAGAAGAAACACAACATTTATTTCGTCAAAAACTTAGAAGAGCTAAAGGAAGGAATTTGATAAAAGCAGTGCTGATATAGGCACCCTTAATGTTAAAAGCTTAAAGTAGCTAAAGAAAGGAATTTAAGAAAAACAGTGCTGATATGTAGGAATATGAAACCAAAAGAAAAAAAATCGTTTTCAGTTAATTACTTGCGTTTTGGAATTTTGTCATGTGTTCTGTCTAATTTCTGTTGTACAAGCGGTACAAACTTGTGTTTTAAATGCATATTATTTTAATTTTTTATGGGTCATTTCAATACTTCTAAATATTGGACGTAACCCGTCATACAATTGTATAATTGTTTAGTATAATATTTAGTCCTAAAGAAATAAAAGAGAGGGGAAAGACATCTAATTTAAAAGTCTGTCTTTTCCATTTTCCTGTCAATAATTTATAGATATTTTAGAGGATTTACTCGCAATACTTCTAAAATTGGCCAATTAAGAAATATCTCACTTAAATAAAATTACATTTATGCTATACTGATCAAACATTATAAACAACGATACTAGCAATGCATTTAAATATTATTCAATATAAAATTGTCCAAATCATACGATATCAGGGATTAAGAGGAATTTCCTTAATATCAGTATCTGGCCTCAATGAAATTTAGTTCATCACGCAATGAACTGATCATATAATGAAAACGGCTGATAAAGAAGCTCTTGATCACAATAAGATCAATAGTAAAGGGAGGAAATCTTTACGATACTCATTACTGTATCGTAGGAAAACAATCTCGAAGTGCCTTCCCTACACGCCTAATGCTTTGAGTTTGAGGTTCTTTTCTTTGAGGAAAGTGGTCCACTAAACTGGTTTATGATCTATTTCTTCAAAGACAAGATGCTGAGGTAACTTCTTCCTGTAGGTGAGGAATGTTCCACCATAAGCTGTGTAGTTGAAGTACTCACGTTCTAAATACAAGTCCATCATTAGTAGTTAAAAATTACACATCGAAGCATGAAGTGGTAGAAGACCTTAGCCACTTTAAAAGTTTTGGATGCATTGCATATGCTCACATTCCACAGATCAGCACAGAAGCAAATTGGGGGGAGTAAAGCAGATAAATGAATTTTTCTTGGTGTTAGTGATATTTGGAACGCTTATAAATTATATAATCCTAACACTAAGAAAATTGTCATAAGCGGAGATGTTGTATTTTATGAATTTTTTTTTTGGAATTGTAATGAAGATGCAGGGCAGCAAGGCCACACTTATTTTCCTAGATTTTGATGATGAAAATGGACAAAGTAACCAATAAGCGCTTCACAAGATGAGCAAGGTGTAACCCAATAAATTCCAATAACTATAAGAGAGCTGAGACCACCACACAATAGAGGGAAGCATGCGTGGATGTGTGATTTTGAAGTGGTAGGAATTATCAATATGATGATCCACTTGTTCACTCTGTCTTCTTTACAAACTGTGATCCAATATCCTTTGAGGAAGCAGTCAAAGAATCAAAATGGAGACAAGCAATGGATGATGAAATCACAGCCATAAAGAAAAATGATACGTAAGAATTAACAAAACTTCCAACAGAGCAAAATACAATTGGTATTAAGTGGGTACATAAGACAAATAAAGACCATGGAGAGATTAACAAGCACAAGGCGCTTTAGTAGCAAAAGACTATAAACAAGAATTGGTATTAATTATAAAGAAGCTTTTGCTCCAATCGCTCGACATGATACAATCAGACTTGTGATTGTTTTGGCGGCACAAAACTCTACCTTTTAGATGATGTAAAATCAACTTTCCTTTATGAAGAACTTGCAAAACATGTATTCATTGATCAACCTCCTAAATATATTGAGTCTGAAAATGAGCACAAGGTTTATAAGTTAAAGAGAGTCATGTATTGACTAAAACAAGCTTCACAAGCTTGGTATAGTTGAATTGACGCTTATCTTTTTTAAGGATTTAAAA